TAGGCTAAAATCATTATGGGGGCAGACTGGAACTGAACCATTAACCTTTTCAGTTAGCACACAAGTGTCTAACCACTGTGCCAGCAGGGCTCCTTCATATCCCCTTAGAATCCTCTACTCTGTTCAGTGTTCTAGGATTTTGTTGGTTTTTTAAAGACCGGTCCTTGGAAAGGGACATCATGCTTGGGAGGGTGGAGGGACAGCGCAGGAGGGGAAGGCCCTCTATGAGGTGGATTGATTCAGTGACTGGGGTAATTGGGATGGGAGTGTCAGAGACAGTGCGATTGGCACAGGACAGAGCGGAGTTTAGGGCTGTTGTACATAGGGTCGCTATGAGTCTCAAGCGACTCGATGGCACACAACGACAACAACAAGATTTTGAAGAGTTGTTTGCGTTACATGCCACTGAGTCAGAAGCAATTCACAGTTGACCATCCAGCAGGTGTTCGGAGGCAGGAGACCATACAGGAGGAGACTGCCCATTTTTCTCCTATGGAGCAGGTGGTGGATTCAAAGCCCCTGCCTGCAGAAGTGGGTTTGGTTCATATTTTCTCAAGATTACAGTGGACTTATGAATTCTGTAGGAAACACCTTAGTGGTGAGATGTCTTCCTTATCCCATGATGCAAGGGGACAGGTGATACCAACACCTTGTTATGCTGACGTCTGCCATTTTTCTTGGCTATAATGATGCTGTTTGTCCATTTCCATACCCTACTCATTAGAAAGGAATCATCAAGCCCAGCTCACACTGTAGGGAAGGGGAACTTCCTGGTATTTTCATTACCATTATTTCAATTATGTTTATTCCTACAATGCTATTATTACCTCACAACCGTTTACACATGAGACTGGATCAAGCTAGACCTGTCCAAAATCACCTAGCTGAAGAGCAGCAAAGTTACAATTTGAACTCATGTCTAAAGTTCCCAAGGATGCATGTTAAAATAATAAGAGAGAGAACAGAATAGAACAGAATCTAACACAAAAGAGTCTCTCATATGTGTGGTAAGATGAAGTGCTGTTTGAGAGAACTTGTTTCTGTAACTTTCTGATGCTTAGTTATCTTTATTTTTAAAAGGGGAATAAAAATCATCTTTTCTCCTGGCCCCTACACCAAAGGTTGGTTTGATATGACGAGTATATGAATGTATGTGTGTGTCAGCGTAAAGACTGGCATGCATAAACATTATTTACAAGCTACATAATGACTACTATTATCATCATAATTGTGTAAACGTGTGCTGAGTAATGATGCCGATTTCTCTCTGTAGTTGCCATCAAAAAAAGGCTGAGAGTTCTGATCTGACAGCTCTAGATCAATGGTCAAAACCTTACATCCCCTAGATCAAATCCAGCATATTCTCTGTTTCTGTAAATAAAGTCTGAATGGTACACAGCAGGGCACCTGTTTTATGTCTTGTTTCATGGCTATACTGAGGCACAACAGCAAAGTGAAGTAGTTGTAACAGAAACCATGTGTGCCAAAGCCTGAGACATTTACTATTGGGCCCTCTAGACCAGTGACCTCACCTCATCTCATTCCAAAGGACGTTAGGCATCTCCTTCTAGACCACGTGGCTGTGCAGCTGCAAACCAGGCCGGATTCTGTGACCGCCCAGCCCCCAGGAGCATAACGTCCTTCTACCTCGGGCTGCTGTCCACACTTGCTTTATTTAGCCTCCTCCATGGCTGTCCATGGTGGAAAGCTAGAGACATGGTGCATCCAGCCGGTCTCAGCAGGAAACAGATGGCCCTCTCAAATTAGAATGATTCAAAGAGTGTTTAATAAAGAGACTATTTACAAAGGTGAGGGCAGGGTGTAGAGGAGACACAAGAGATACAGAGCTGTTAACTCCCTGGGCAGGAGGGGACAAGGACAGGGAGCAATTACAGAACCTGGAAGGAGAGTCCTTTGGAGAGGACGCTTTATGTGAAGCAGACACCTCCAGCTGAGGGACAGAGAGCCAGCTCCAGGGGACTCTACAGAAAGGGAATCGATGAATAAATGCCTGGAGCTCATCCTGTGCCCTCCAGAATCTCTCCTTTGTCCACAACGAAATGGAAGCTAAACAGCACAGGGCCCACTGATGAGGTCCATTTGGGGAGAAGACAGAAAAGGTGAACAAGAGAGAGCTTAGGTTCCCAGCACACATAATAAGGATTCTGAAAGGCAGCTTTATTTAGCCTCCCTAAGTCTCTGGGTGGTACAAATGGCTAACACAGCTGCTAATGGGAAGGTTGAAAGTTCGAGTCTACCCAAAGATGCCTGAGAAGAAAGAGCTGGTGGTGTTCTACTTCCGAAAAATCAGCCACTGAAAGCCCTATGTGTCAGAGTCAACTCTATGGCAACTATTGTTTTAAGAGAAGTGTGTCTTACGTTTTGTGAGAAGATGAGTTGTTGGAGGAGGGGGAGATCATGTTTTGGTAAAGGAGAGGGTCAGTGAGGGTGTGGGAGGCCCTGAGGGAAGAGGATTGGCAGTGGTGAGAGCCACAGACATGGTAGTGATTATGATGAGAGCACAGGACTGGACATAGTTTTCTCTGCTGTCCAGTCACCACGAATCAGAATGGACATGGAAGCAGCTAATGACGCAAGTGATCGCCCTGCTCCATCCCTCCTGGCCAGGAATCTGGCACAGATATCCAAAGGCTGCATCCTTTTACCTTTTACCAGTGCCTCTTCCTGTATCCCCTCGACTCCTGACGGTTATCAACAGAGTTCATCTTCCTAGATTTTATCCATGTGAGTGGGGGTGGAAGGTTGTTGAGCACAGACCCAAGCTGCGGAGTTGCTTTCGTGCCTCAGCTGACTCTGGTTAGCATGCGTGGAGTTCAGAACAAATGTTCCTCACATCTCATCCTATCTCAGGGAGGTGCCCTCTTTATCTCTGTATCCAGCTAAATTCCAAGGGACAAGTCTACTATCGTTGGCTCCTTGGACAAAAGAAGTGGAGCGGAAAAACTTCCCAGGTTGAGAAACAGTTCAAAGAACTCACTTTCCACGGGCGAAATCCCCAGGTCCCACCATCTTTGCTGCCCAAGGCGTCCTTGATTAGGATAATTTCCTTACTTAGTTCTTTGGTGTCAGCTGCCGTTTTAATTTACGGTGACTCATGTGTAACAGAACAAAAGATGGTCTGGCCTTCAAACCAAGGAAGTTCATCTTCTAGTCTATACTGAATAACCATACAATAACTCACTGGTTTTCATTGGCTAATATTCTGAAGTAGACAGCCAGGCCTTTCATCCTGGTCTATCTTGGTTTGGATATCATACAGACCCTGCTAATCCAAACACACCATTACAGTGTGCCACTTGGAAGCCTTGCCGGCCGGGTCCACACTGCTCACTTTACAGACGAGATGTCATCTGTGTGGGGTGGGAAAGGGGGGATGACAAAGGCAGGCCAGCTACCGGGAAGAATCAGGATAAGAATTGAGGCCTGGAGGCTAATTCTCATTTCTCATTTATAGGGAATTGAAGTTGAAGTCCATCTTGAAGCCCAGCGAAGGGGCTTGGCAGAAATTCAGAAAGTGGTGCAGACTCAGGTGAGCTTCCTGGTCAGGCTCGGCTGCTGGGGCTGCACTTCCAGGACCTTGGAGGAAAATTCTGTGTGAACAGGAGCAAGCAAGGGTCCTCCGTTTACATCCAGACTTCCACTTGGGAGTGGTTGTTTGTTCTTCAACAAGTGACTTTTTGAAAGTCTCATATTAATGACATTTCATTTCTTACCCCTATAAATTGAGAGTTATTATCATCAACCACTGGATTGTTCTATATAGACACCCTGTATCATATAAGCAAGTACCTAACACGAGGTTTCGAAGCCATTGCCTTTTTGCATTGTCTTTTCCCTCCAATAGTAAAGCTCTCAGATTATTTGCAATCACACTTGCAAAGATCCAGAATCCCACAGCTTCAGTATCACTATTAGCCTCTATGCTAGAACTCCAAGAAATAGGCCCCTGAGATAAGAGTGGGGAGGCCTCTTCATGTGCTGGGGTCTCGCTCTCATTTTCACAGACACAAGTAGAATTAGAGAAATCTTGGGGTTCTCTTCCCTCCTTCCTCCCCCAAATTCCTTCCATGAAATGAAGAGTTCAGACACACACACAGCCCAAGTGCTCAGGTTTTAAATTAGACAACTTTGTCCTGACAGGTACCAAGTCACAGCTGTCATACCTGATTATTTTTAGAGTTACTACTAAACCCTCTGTACGTTACGAGCTGCCACTGTTCAAGGCAAACAGAAAGACTTCACATTTTATCCTGACAGCTCTGGAGCCAGCCACCTCCTCGTGTTCATTATTTCCATCCTGTCTGTGGAAGGGGTGGCGTGCCATCCTGACAATCTTACCGTGGGGGAGGCAGACCCCATAGTTAGAAGCACACCCAAAGGATTTAAAGAACCTTGCAGATGGGTATGCTAAATGCGCTCAACTGCCAACCAAAAGGTTGGAGGTTTGAGTCCACTCAGGGCCACCATGGAAGAAACACTTAACAATCGACTTTCCCAAAAGTTCAGCCATTGAAAACCCCACGGATCCCTGGCCTACTCTGATACACACGGGGTCACATAACACTTCAGTTTATTTTGATGGTAAGTACATGTTATAGCTGAGCAAAGTCCACTGCCTCCAGGAAGCCAACAGGGAATATTTCCAAGAGAAGTAGTGGCTTCATTGCCTTCTTTTGGGGGAACTCTCTCTCTTTTGTCAGAAGTGAAACCTGGCCCTTCAGTGTTTAACTCCTAAGAGTCCCTGCAGGCAAATGATCCCAGGCACTGGCCACAATTGGCGAGGCGGCAGGTGACATCACAATCCTCTCCTCTGACACAACAATGCCACCACCACTAAAAAGGCTGCCCCCAACTCGAGCTCTTGCAGAGAGGAAAATTCACCACAAAGCAAAGGGCCTTCTGGGTTGCTCCTGGAGCGTGAGGACCAAAGTCTCTGCTGTCTAAGTACCTGAATCTAAAAAGAAGATGATTTTGTGAACATGGGCAAAGACGTCCCGCTAAGGCCCAAGGTGAATGTGTCTTCTTACATTCACTTTTTGCTGAATTACAGAAACAAATTCAAGGAGCAGCAGCCAAATTCTTTCCCTGACTTTAAAGAGTTTTCTAGAAAGTGTTCGGAAAAATGGAGGTCCATTTCAAAGCATGAAAGAGCTAAATATGAAGCCCTGGCCAAGCTCGACAAAGCCCGGTACCAGGAAGAGATGATGAACTACGTTGGCAAGAGGAGAAAGAGGAGAAAGCGTGATCCCCAGGCACCCAGAAGGCCTCCATCATCCTTCATACTCTTCTGCAAAGAACACTATGCCCAGCTGAAGAGGGAAAACCCAGGCTGGTCAGTGGTGGAGGTGGCAAAGGCCACAGGGAAGATGTGGTCTGAAACAACAGATTTGGAGAAGCAGCCGTATGAGCAGAAGGCAGCTCTCCTGAGAGCGAAGTACCATGAGGACCTGGAAGCCTACCGTAAACAACGCAAAGCCAGGAAGAGCCTCCGCATGGCTAAGAACTACCGCAGCGGGAGAACCGCGTCCCGCAGAAATTGATGGATCAAATTCGAAATAAAATGCCATTCATCTGTCCTATCTCCTGTGAATGTCCCTGGTCTCTTATGTGGCTCGACAGAGGCCAGTGCTGCTGTTTTGGGGAGGAAAGTTGCCTGGTATGCGGGGAGATCGGGGTTGGGGAAGAGCCCGAGGAGAGGCTGGCGATGGGAGAAGTAAAGGCTGAGTTAGCAAGGGGTGTTGGGTCAGTATCCACACAGCTCACTTGGGTGTAGGGTGGGAGTCTCTGGGTGTAAAAAGAAGCGAGACATCATCGTGACCCCAAGTGGTTATCCAGGCTGGAGGGAAAGCCCACATAAACGAGATCAGGTCCAGGGATGCCAGGTCCAGCTCTGGTGATGAGGGTGGCTGTCCTGAGCAGGCTGTCAGAACTGCCAGGCTTAGAGCACAAGTCAGACTATCAGCCCTGGTCCTTGGTGGGGGGGGGTAATATCACAAGATGACCATGGAGCAACTGGTCCTGTGGGTGGAACAAAGCCAGCAGAGGAGGGGGAAGCTGGACTAGTGCTCGGACAGTAATTCCAGATACCAGACCTCCAGCAAGATGTACACTATATCTAGTGATGGACTATATCTAGTGATGGGACATCACTCGTGTTCCTTATGTGCATTATGATGAACCTCATGATTTTAGTTCTAAATGTTGCTGTATTAAATGGGCAACAGGTATGGGCAACAGGTGAGTTTCCCAAGTGCTATTTCAGAAAACCGCCCTTGGCATCTTAGCATCACATAATTGAGGACAAGTGGCACTTTTAAGATCCCTGGCATCTCTTTCCCTTGGTGTCCCAGCATCCTGACTCGCCTTCGTGACGAGTGTCTGATCAAAGGTCACAGTGATTGTTACACTGAGTGGACTCAGGTTGGTCCAGGTGGAGTGGACCTGCCATTGTGCCCTCCCATAGAAACTGAAAATGGAGACCTGGAGGCATCACACCACTCAGGGACTTGCCAAGATACTTCATTCTTTGTAAAAGAAAACCCAAGAGGATTTGACTTGGGTTTTCTGCCACTTGCAAATGAGTCATAACTGAAAAGGAATTTGACACAAATGAGATTGTGCTATATCTGCTCTGACTGATCTCCCCCCCCGCCCCCCAGTAATATACTGTGGGTCATGCCTCATACCAATCAATACAGATTGAAATGAAGCATTTTGAATCATTTCAAAATGGCTCTTCTGATATCTTTTCATCAAAAGGCCTGGGTCAGAATACAAAATTGTCTTTGCCACCAGGTTTTATGCGTAGTGAACTTCCCTAATTCCCTAATTCCACTTCTCATGCCTTTGCATGAAGGACTTCTGATACGAACACTATTTGAAGTTTGTTTTTAAAATTTTAAAGTAAAATCCAAATTTCTGAAGTCTTTTTAAGAAGTGGATGATCCTTTGAAGATGAGAGGTAATGGAGTGGAGTGATGTAGAAATTTAAGGTCTGGAATAACACAAATGGCAATTTAATAACCAAAAGGCTGGCAGTTGGGATCCACTAGCTGCTCTCAGAAGAAAGCTGAGAAACCGTCAAGATTTGCAGTATTGGAAACCTGGTAAGAGGATAATCAGAATTGCCTCACAGGCAGTGGGTTTGGATTTTCACTCAGATAGACCTGGGTTTGGATCTCAATTCAGTTTGATTGACTCTACAATCAAGTAGGTGTCATTTAGCTCTTGAGAGCAGTAAATGTTCTTCTCTGATGTGGGGACCTTGGGTCTGACTCCCGACCAAAAGCACAGCCTCACTGTTAATGGATGTTTGCTGTTAGACGTGAATCAGATTTCTGTAAAGCTTCTACATGAAGATAGGCTGAGGAAAGGTGTGGTGATCAGCTTCTGAAAATCAGCCAACAAAATGCCTATGCATCACAATGGTCTAGTCTCCTACCAATTACTGGACAGCACAGTACAGGCCATGTTTCATCTCGCTGAGTTTGTGCAGCCACTGAGAGCCAGGGTCAACTCAAACAGCCAACAATTTATTCCGTAGCAATCTGGCTACCTAGTAATTAAGATGATAAACTATATATCTGATGTATGTATTTTACGTCAAGAACTGTTAAAAATGTAATTATGCAACAATGAATTTTCTAAAGTGAATTGAAGCGGCAGGGAGGAAAATATGGAACAATAAATAAATGAAAATTCAACTGTTCTGTAAACTTTTGTTTAAATCATAATAAAAACCAAAATTTAGAAAACTGTAATTAAATATTCTCTGTATAGTTTGGAGCTGAGACTAAGGGATCCTGTTACAGTCCAAATGTCATCATCCTTCCCTATTGTCCCACTATCTTTATTACATAAATATCAAATCAGCTCAGCTTCAACTCAGCTTGGCTTATTAAAACAGATCATCAAATGAATACAAGAGAAGTCTGCTACTTTGAGATACAGACCACGGTGAGCTCTTAGAAAATGATCAGATGTTTCACATAAAACAATCGGGGGCCTTTCTAGGATGATCAATTGTCACAAACATTTGACTCTATGCCACGGGCAATCGAGAAGACCAATCGAGAAGACAGGTGATGTCCAGCTGCCTCCTTACCCTGGGCCTTCAGCTGGTCCGAATTCTAGCAGATCTTAAAGCTAGAATGAAGACATCGTTTTTTGCAAGACAGAGTGAAGATATTATTTCTGCACAAAATCTGATAATTATGTTTAAATGGTTGAAAGTACAATGCTTTGTAAAGTATAATGCTTTGTTCATAAAGCTTTTCAAAGCCACCACTAGTCAGAGACACTTTGAAATGACACAAATCCTTGTTGTTGCCAGGTACTTGAGTTGGTTCCAACTCTCAGTAACCATGTGATCAACAGAACAAAACACGCCTGGATCCGTGTCACCCTTACAATCAGTGTAGGCCCTCTGTGCCAGCCATCACATTGAGGGCCTTCCTCTGTTCCCTAATCCTCTACTTAACACACACAATGTCCTCTACAGGGACTAGTCCTTCCAAAGGCTATGGGGAAAAGGTTCACTATCCCCTGATAAGGAGCATCCTGGCTGTGATGTATTTGTTCTTCTGGTTAGCCCATGGTACATTCAATAATCTCCACCAACACCACCACCACCAAAGGTTTAGGTTTTCCATCTTTACTGTTTCTATTGTCCAGCTTTGGAAGGTGGGGCGTAGGGCGATGGGGAAATCCATGGTGAGGATCAGGGGTGTGTGTGTGTCTTATTCCTCAAAGTAACATGTTTAACACTTGAAAAGAGGTTTTTTGCAATAGATATGTCCAATACACAGATGTCTTTTTATTCCTTGGCTGCTGCTTCCATGTCATAATTATCGACCTAAGTAAAAGGAAATTATGCATAATCTACAGACCTTTACTGGCCTACAAAATCATATATAAATAGATATAGACATAGATATAGGGATAGAGATAGAGATACAGGAGATGGAGATATAGTGAGACCCGTACTGGTCTACAAAATCATATAGTGAGATATCAAATGAATGCACTTCCTCAGATTCAACCATTTCTCAGTATGGCAACTTCAATATCTTTTCTCCCTCCCATCCCTGTAAATGGCCTGGCTTCTTAAGCCATACTGAGGAGGCTGAGCATTTCTTCAGGTCCTCAGTTTCTTGGTGGAGACACAATCTGGGATAGGAGACTTGAGGCATTTCTCCTAGGGAGCCCATGCTTGTTCTAGGGGAGATGATGTAAAAAGCTCCAGTGTTTGTTTCAGCCTATGCTCTTGACTTCTCTGAGCCTCAGAGCCTTCCTGGCACCTCAGACAGTATCACTCTCTCTAATATCTGTCTGTTCTTACATAAGTCATCAGAGGAATCCACCCAAATGAGAACTTGGACCATTTTTATAACCCATTTTAAAATTGTAAAAGTCTTCCTCTTTCCCACAGCATCTGGTGAAAATGTGTATGCCTGATTCTTCAGGTCCCCTCTTACCAGGGAAGGGGGTCCTCCGCTCTCCCACTACATAATTCAGAAGCCACCTAAGTATGACTCTGTGCATCAAGTCCAGTGCTGGATGCAGAGAAGCACAATAGGGTTGATACCTTAGTAGATACAGAACATTATTTCCAGCCTTGAAATCCAATGGAATTTGCCCTGCTTGGTTTTTAAATTTGTTGTGGGCCTGTGACCCTTTTTCTTCTCCATTTCCTCCCACTTGGAATGTAAATGTCTATCCATACCTATCCCACTGTTGTATTTTGGAAACATACTACTTATATTCTAGGTTTCATGGATAGACAGATGAAGTGGAATATTGCCTCAAGATGAACCCATATCCACATCTGATTAAAACTATGAGAGTTGATATTGGAAGGTGTAAATACAGAGAAGGCAGGGTGGGATGAATATATTTTCTATGTGGGAAGAAAATGAATTTCATGGGGTCAGAGGGTGCACTGCTATAGATTGGATTTCATGTCCCAGAAAGATATGTCAAACACCTAAGTTCTGGTATTTTGAATCTGATTTTGTTTGGAAATAGGGTCTCTGAAGATGTTATTGCTTATCAGTTAACATGAGGTCATACTGGACTAGAATAGGCCCTAACCCCAATATGAATGGTGTCCCATAAAGGAGGCGAAGAGACATAGAAAGACAAACACTAATGACAATAGAAACAGAAATAGGACTGCTAAGGATTGGCAGAAGGCACCAGAAGGTAAGAGAAAGGAATGGAGACTTCTGCTCAGAGCATTCAAAATGAATCCAACAGGCAAAATCCTGATTTCTGACTCCAAGCCTCCGGAATTGTGACACAATAAATTCTATTTTCATAAGATACTCAGTTCATGGTATTTTGTTACAGCAGCCCTAGGAAACTAATACAGATTAGGTAAAAAGTTTCCTATTTTTATAACAGTCATAGCCTCAGACATAAACCCAGCACCACAAAGCATTATGATGAAATCTAAGGCCACATAAAGGTCTGGGGAGGGGGAGGGTCCCACCACCAACCCAGTGGCTGGAGTCTTGTGGAAGAAGCAATCTCATCTCAC